CACATACCTATTGCCCTTTCGTAGTGATATAATTATTCATGTTTTTGTGAGTATTTTAGGTTGTTGAAGTATCTAAACGATATTAAAAAAACTTAAGAACATGATGCCGCTTGTACCATATTAAAAGTAACTTCACTTCCTCAGAGACAAGCGTCACAACCTGCATGTCTTGCTCCCCATGATCATCTTCTACACGAACCGCATCCTCGAGATTCACTCCTAAAAATTTACAAGCTTCCAAGAAGATGATCGAGTTTGGTTTCTCCGCTTCAACATGCCAAACAATCAGCCATAATCATTTTAATACACATTCGCTCCCAAAACGTTTCAGATCATCAACCAAAAGATAAAGATATGTTACTTCGGCTGAAACAACCACAACATCAAACCAGTCCTCACATCTCAGTGCTCGTAGGAGGGGTCTTAATCGAGTGTCGAAGTTGGACACAATGGCAAATTTTACACTTTCTTCTTTAATAGATTTGAACACTTTCTCTGCCTCTGGATCACATGGCTTCCACGCCTCGTGAAGTAAATGGATAACATATCAAGAGAAAGAAACAAACTTTAAAAGACATTTCTTAAGCGTATGGAGAAATATTAACATGTTCTATAGTAAAATAGTTATAAAGCTCTTCAAAGTACTGAGAATCCGAACAGCATGTTGATGCAGTCACTATACATTACTAGAAAGGTCTTGCATCATTTTCATATCTGCAAACATAGGAGTAAAAGTTATGTATCATCACACCAGATTATTACTCGCAAGTAACTCCTCTTAAGCACAGAGATATTCATGAATCCCTTAGAGATTAATACCAGCACAAATTTATCTGCGAGAGTAAGTTTGAAAACTAAACTTTTTTAACAGAGATGAATCAGTAGAGCCTTAATCATGATGTACTAAACATAATGCAATCTAAGTGAAATCTAGACTTTACTTGATAAGCTCTTCTGTATCATCTAGACTTTACTTGATACATATAATAAAGCAATAAATATAAYAWAAYSKAWWKCKWTMTWWWAAKKAWMWAAAGAAAGAATGGCTCYTAAAGCATCAYAAGGAATTCAGTAATATTTTTAGCAAATTAAAAAGGTTTAAAACATTAAAGGGGAGACCTAACCCTCAAACACTGAATAAAACTACGGTTCAATTCATTTTGGCTTGAGAAAAATTTAGTTTGTATGTAACATTGTAAAAAAAAAAGTTTAATTCAATTTTTTTTTGTTTAAAATTACTACAGTTTGGTAATTTATTGCGATTATTACATATTCTCTCTATATATCTCGTAGTGTAGATGATACATGTATGCCACAAGTTACAATTACAACAACTTAACATATTTAAAATAAAGAGAGCTTGAAACTTTTGTGAATCTATGGTTTCTTAATCTACCAATGACGCCGGCAAAAAAAAAGAGAAAAAAATCTACCAATGACAAATTGGTAAAAGAAAATTTTCATGTAATTTTATTTGCTTTTAATTAAAATTTATTTATCCCCGCGCCAGACATACCCATAAAAAATCTAAAAGTTTAGGTTTCGAAAATTAATAACAAACAAGTATGTTTTTTTTTTGAAACTTAACACACATACGTTTTTTTTTTAAACTTAACACACACACGTTGAAAACAAAACAAAAGTAAATATAGATTTAAACCTACATTTGATGACCATATATAGGTTTGATTACTGAAACTTAATACTTGATTGTACTTAATATTGTTGTTACTTTTGCTTTATCTTTATATTAAGAGAAACATCGGAAGAATCATTTATATTTAAAATATTTATGATATGAACAAAAAACATAAGTCATAGTCATAGTTAGAGGATTGAACTGACTAAAACCAAACTAAAAAACAATAGAAATCAGTCTGAAAGCAAATAAAAAAACTAAAAAATCAATAACCCGAAAATCCAAACTCGAGGAACCAAAAAAAAAATAGTTGGAGTAATCGTCGGAAGAAGTGTTT